TGATAAGTGATGACCCCCCAATAGGCTACTATAGAGTAGTATGGTTAAATAGGTTCTATGAACACAAGAAGGTTACTTGGTTATTTTTGGTTCAATCAGAGCGCTAATTCTGCTGTACCAAATAAGAAAAAGAAAAACACAAACATTTTTTGTCTTTTTTTTTATAATTAAATCAATAGGTTTTCAACATTTCCCTGGTTATTTCTGAGTTATCAGCATAGTTCTTTCTTATAATTTTGAAAATGGTATGAAATGAAAGTACCAATGTATTAGCTCTAGCTCTAGCAACACAAATGTACAAAATGGTTAAGGGGGATATTTTTTCAATTTCTTAGGCATTTATTTCTAAATAGGACAATACATATAAAAAACATTAATGACAATATAGCAGGATTAGCCAGAAGGCTATTTTTCATCTGAAGTCCATAAACAAATAGTTAAAAAAATGTAAACATTTGGAAAGAAAAAAGAGTAAAATTTCATACTTTTGTTAACAATATAAAAATAACAATATATTTCATCAAAATTACTTAAAATATCTATTTACATTAAAAACACATGCACCAACTACCAGACAAGCCTCAGACAAAAATAAATAAATAAGCATATGCATTAGTAAGAATGTAGGAGTAGGTCTAACTGTAGGTCAGTGTTGTAAGGTTTAGTAATCAATAATCGATTTCTTTAGCTGTATCATTAATTTATTATATTTTTTTATATTTCTAATGGTCATTGGGGTGGAGCTCAACAGAAAAAGCAGGTTGGCAAAATGCACTTTGTCCAAGGGGAATAATACTCTCTCCCCTTTTTTGCACCTTTGATTCTACAATGGTTAGATGATTGAATATTAACAAACATGAGAGGAGATGATACAATAAAAATAATGCATTATTTTTTAGATAAGACATAAGTTTAAATATCAGATCATGTTTTCCCAACTGAGGAAACTGTGTTTTTATAGCATTGGACATGATACCTGTTTGTTTTCTTATCTAGAATATTTAGAATTATGTTAATACGATGATTGCAAAGGCAATATTCTGATAATAGAGACCAAATGAGTAAACAGTAAGTGATATAAGGACAAAATCATTAAATGTATGTAAATTTGTGCTGCTTGTAAGGACATCTGATGGCAAATATGTAGGATGTTACTGAGATAAAATTGATCCAATGACAGAGCCTTTTTTCACAAGTTGGAAACATTCAGTGGTATCCCAAATCCTATGTCTCTCTTATATTTCAGATTTTAAAGTGAAACCAGAATGGTTTGAATCGGTACCAGCAGGTCAGTGCTTTCTTAAAAGAAAACTGTGCATCTCTGATGCAATACCAGGAAACTTGATATTTCTTTGTTCGTTATGAAATGTGAATGAAAAGTGAAACTTACCACTTGCACTATAATCATTGCAACGCACCTGAGAAAACAGCTTGTTTAGGTGTCACTTCCCTGTCTCTGGGACATAACAGTCTTGAATAATTACAAATGGGATCACTACAGATAACTACAGAGGCACGGTCTCACTCTGGAGCTACAATTTAGTTACAAACATTTACTGTACAAGTTTTCTCCTGTCTATCGTGCAGTTTGATTTAGCTTGTGTTAGTCTATGCTTCTGCATGTACACACAAGTGATTTTACCCGACTCCAATTAACAGTCATAGCGGGGAAAGGTAATTACAAAGCTAAGTGGGAGATGAGAAGTCACGCTGGGACGTGCTGCGTAGACACGCCAAACAAGCACTTCCACCTGCTACTAACTCCAAAAGATGCGCAGACTCAAGGAGCTATTAACCTACTTGTAATAAGTGTTTATTGAAATTAATTTCTAGATGGGAAGGTGCTGTAGGGTAATCAGACATATGAGACAACTGTTAGAATTTTTCAGTTGAATTAAGATCTAGTTGAGACAGAAGTTGAAAAAAATCCTAAGAAGTGATTGAAAAAATTCAAAAGATGTGATTGCTATTTAGAGATGGTATTCACAGGAGAGAAAACCATAAACTAGCCAATTTATTTTCTCTGCCACACACACTTTTGTGGTCATACCATTTTTTCCTCAAAAGTTTTTCAAAACTTGATTAACAAGTTTGTTAGCTTTAAAGAGACATCAGGTTCAACATATTTTCGTAAAGACATACTAGTAACACCGGTTAGAGTTTTGTTCTTACTTGCGAGACAATAAATCCTGATCACCTAGTTTATAACTGTTTGTTCAAGTCCAGACATGTCTAGAACGATTGTTTTGTCAAGCAAATCTATACCCGCACAAATTCAGGTTAAACCATTTTTTAATAAATTAAAATGCTTTGTGGTGTATTGCTACTGTAGTCAATCAGGATCTTGTGTCTGATCTGATCAGGTGATGCAGTACTTGTTCTTGTAGGTGATGTGACGTTTTTCATCCACATATGGGGGACTATTTAAATAAACTATTTAAATAAAGCAAGTGGCTAAGCCGTAAAGACAGAAGGGTACCACAGTCAAACATGTGCACACACACAGGCTGCATCATTATCTCCACTCGCTGTTAATTTATGGTCCTAGATGGAACATTTGAAAATGATACACCTGACGCTTAACCACATATCATAGCGGAGAAAAAAAGAAGTGAAGCCTGACTAGCAGCTGTCTTGTAATTTGCAGTTCTGTCATTACTGCAGATTATAGCAAAAAGAGAGACATGCAGACCTGTTAGACAACAGCCATTCCATATATTGCTGCAACGCAGCGCAGGTGCAGCCAGGAAAAGAGGCGGAAGACAGAGTTTCTCCCAGCTGTTGGTTTATGACTTATAATTAGTCTCATAACCATAGATGTCATTCAACACCATACAGTATTGTCTTGGTTATGAGATTGAGCTAATCATCTTTCTGGAGTTTCTTTTGTAGTAAGTAGAACTGAAATGTAACTAGATAGCATGTTACCGATCCACCCCTATATAAATATATATGAGGATAGGTAGTGCATTCTCATTTTTGCCATGATTGTAACTTTTTTATTTCCTTCCCTCTTTCATTATTTTCCTTTTCTTTCCCTTTTTCTCATTTCCTTCCATTCGTCCCTTCTCTACTCTCCTTCTGCCTTTATTTCATTATTTCTTTACTTATTTTTTCTTTGTCAGTATATTATTCAATATTCTTTTCCTGCTCCATTTTATTCTCTGTAATTTTTCAACATCATTGCTCCAGCTATTGCTTCCTTCTTCACATTTTTTACATTCCTTCTTAACTTCTGTCTAATTTCACCATTTCCTTCATCTTTTCATTCCCTCATTTTCTCTTTCTTTGATTAGTTATGTTCTCCATCAGTTTTTTTTCACTTTTTATGTTAGTATTTTTACCTTATTTTCCCTTATTCTTCATTTCATCCTTTTCCCCTCAGTTAATTTATTTTCTTTCTTTCTTTATTCTTTGTCTTTCTTTCTTTCTTTCTTTCTTGTTTGATTCTTTTTTATTTAATTCCCTGATTATTTTCCTTCTTTTCTAATTATCTTATTTTTCCCTCATTTCTTTTTCCACTTTTCTTTTAGTCGTGTCTTCCGTTCTGTTACCTCTATGTCCTCATTTTACTAGAGCACCTATAAAAATCAATATAAAGTAAACCAAATTCTTAAAAAAAAACATGACACAAATGCAAATTACATCATGTTATTTTCCTCTTATTCACGCTACTGTGAAGCTGCTGCTGCCACAGGAATGACAACCCTTGTAGGGATTCTGTCGCATCAAGCGGGCAGATTTGAATGCTAAACCCATTAGGCAAGCATCACTCACAGACAGAGCTGGCGATGATAAATAACCCAACCAGAGAAATCTGATTAGGAGAGATGGAGGCAGAGGATCTGAAGGAATGAGTAACAGCAATGTCTCCGTTATCATGCCTCAGTCAGATAGGAAATCACACACCGAGGAAAAACACGAAATGTTCATCTGCAGTGGCTTGTGTCAGCTTTTTTCTTTAAACATGGAGTGGGACTTAAAATTGGGTCTTTGTGAGTTGCAATTAATTGAAGGCTGAACTTTGTGTGCATGTTACTAAGCCCCGACTCTCCAAAGGCACAGATCTGCACAATGAGCAGTCTGGTAAACAGGTCAATTTCAATCAGAAAGCTAAACATTTATTGGTGCCTTGGCTGATGGTCTAATGATCTGAGCCAACTAACATGTACAATTACCTTTACATGTCCTTGTATATACATTGATAATGAGTAAAAATTGTCATATTTTCAAGAAATTCCTTCTGTTTTACATTTCATGTCTGTTTTTCTACTCACATACTGAATTAATGACCAGTGATCATGTATTTGGCATATTTTCCTAGAGGAAAATGGTAGGCATCTTAAAAAGTAAATATTCAAAAGGAAATGTCAATTTAATAAGATTTGTGATGCTAAGAGGTAACAGGCAGCAAAAGAAACTCAAACAATCCCATGTATAACAGCAATAATAACATAATTTGAGTAAGGACAATCAAGGTCTAGCACTAAACTTTTAAACCTGAAAAACTTAAAACCTGAAAAAAAATGCACAAAGATAACTACAAAGATATGCAAATAAAATGGGAAAGCAGATGTTAACTACTGTTAAATAAAAGATAGGTGGGCAGACAATTATTTGACTGTCATTGACTCAGATTTAGAATTACAAAGTTCCCTATAAGGGAGGGACCTGAAAGTCATTTGGAGGATAAAAAAAAATCAGATTTACTAGAGAAAAAAAAAGCCTTTTGGCATTGACCTAAATTTGTTTAAATAGCCCCAGTTTACAAAAAAAATTTATCTCAAGGTGCTGAAAAGAAATGATATGTTATGCCAGTTGAAATTACGGTATATTAAAAGTCACATTCCTTCTATTTTAATGTAGCTTAATCCAATAATCCAATTATAAATGTATTCAATCAATATAGTAAGATATAATATATTGATATTTATAAAATGCATTTTAATAAAAAAAAAAAGCTTTATGTTCCCATAAATATAATAAGCTGTCAACTCTACCTTCCTGAGCAAACACAGGATGGTATCAACAGTAAAGGGCGGAACTCCCTTTTTACAGGAAGGGACCTCCAGCAGAGGCAAACTCAGGAAGAGTGGTCGTCTACTTCAACCGGCAGGAGGTTGAGAGGACAGGAAAGAGATACAAACAGACAAAAGCACCAGACCAGAGTTACCTGCAGAGGGAAACGGAAAGAGAAGGCAAAAACAGATTTAAGAACAGCTTTTCCAGCTCACTTACATGGGGTTTGTCAATATCAGAAAGGAGAAAAATGAACTATGAGGTTATCAATACATCATGGAATGTCCCAGCTCAGGGTCACACCGTGTTTAAGGCATTGTCCTAAAAGTAGCCCACGCTGGAAGCTTAGCGAAGAAAGGAAACTGTTAATGGCACTATTTCACTTTTATGTACTTAGTAGTTCACACTTAAACTTGCCCCTGAAAATAAAGGGTAATGTGAAGGAAACTTTTGGATTTAAAATATTTGATGCACCATCGTCATGATCAGGGGTCTTTAGTTCTTAGACAACTTTTATTGTCATTTTGTATAAACTTAGTGTATGCAAAGCCCTCAGGTGAGCATGTGCTTAGGGTGATGACATCAAAGGTGTTCTGTCCGACCCAAACTAACTGAGGTCTGTTTGTGAAGAAGTCTAGCAGCCAATTGCAGATGGGTGTATTGAAGACCAGCTGCTCCAGTTTTCCTATCAGATGCTGTTCTCCTCTAGGTGTGCTAAGCTCAGGTAAAGAGCAGAGGAGATGGCGTCTTCAGTGGACGAGTTCCATCAGTAGGCAAAATGGGACGGGTCGAATGTTGGGGGGAGACTGGAGACAATGTGTTCTCTAACCAGCTTTTTGAAGCACTTCATCAAGATGGAAGTCAATGTGACAGGCCGGTAGTCATTAAATGAGATGACCTGAGGCTTCTTTGGGACCAGAATAATGGAGGCAGACTTAAAGCATGTTGGCACTATGGATTGGTCCAGCGAGAACTTAAAAATGTTTGGGAGGTCACCTGCCAGCTGACCTGCACACTCACTGTGCACCCGCCCAGGTATGTTGTCGGGGCCTAGGGTCTTTATTGGGTTGACTCTCCTCAGAGTCTTCCACACATCAGCTGTATCAAGGAGGAGAGTCTCTTCTCTCCTCCTTGATTCAACAAAGTATATTGACTGTTGTGGAAGGGCTTTCACAGCTGGAGTTCTGTTTAGTGCCTCAAACCTTCCAAAGAAGTTTTTTAGCCCATTCAGGAAGTCAGCGTCAGCTGCAACCACTGATGGGGAGGGGGTGTTGTAGTCTGTGATCGCCTGTATGCTTGCCACATCCTCCTGGTGTTGCTGGCATCATGGAAGAGATCCTGGGTTTTCTGGCTGTGGTTCTGCTTTACTGATCTGATTGCATGGTTTACTTTGTCATGCGCTGCTCTCAGAGCCTCTATATCACCAGACTTGAAAGCTGAGTTCCGTGCTTTTAGCGATTTCCAAACCTCCCCGTTCATCCAGGGTCATTGGTTGGCTTAGATGGTGATGTTCTTTGTGATATTGACATCCTTAATGCATTTGTTGATGTAGGCTGACACAGTCATCTATGTTTATCTTGTTGTCATAGATTGCTGCAGCTTTGAGCATGTTCCATGTTTGAACATGTTCTGATGTAGACAAGACAAGAAGGGATGAAGACAAACTAAAAAAGAGGAATTACAATATGACTTTAGTATTTTAAAGCAAAATATTGTGGCTGCATTTTGGATCATAACATAACCTGAAGTTTGTTGTTTAGCAAGCAGACCTGATGCTCCGGATTTTTGCAGCATTGTGCAAGTGGAAAAGGTCATTTTGGAAACATATTTAATCAGGCAACATACAATAGTGAAAATTGTGGTGTAAAAACACCATTTCACAGTCCTTTCAAAAGGTCTTGAAATCTGACAAATTAGTTCAGAAAAATTAAAAAGTTAAACTTACAAAACAATAATACTACCAACAAAATCAAATTGAGATTTATAACAGCCATACAAAACATATGCAAAGGAAAAAAGCTGCAAGTAGCAAAAACAATGTGAGGTCAAAGAAAGCTGCAATGACAGGACATAGAGAGTAGCAAATGAAAGTATACTGCAAAGACAAAACCCACTGCATATACAGGAATGATCCTAACAAACAAATGTTATGCTAAGGATAGATGTTGCAAGTAGCAAAAACAACCAAGTATAGAAAAGCTGCAAACTGAGCTATCTCTATAGTTATGCTGCTATAGGCTTAGACTGCTGGATGACGTAGGGACCCTTTTTCATCATTCTGCTTCATTCTATCTCTATCCTCCTTTTCTGTAGAATTTGTAAGTTCACTCTCTAACATTATACTCTCTCTGCTTTTTCTCATAATAGCTTCATCTGGTCTGTTGCTGTTTGGCTGTGACACCATCCTGGAGAGATATATAAGCTATGTGACTAACTGTATGTGCTCTCTTTCATCCTCTGACATGGGAGGATGTGTCTGGCTGTGTTTCCTGGATGGGGCCGCCTGTGGAACTGTTTGACAGTTGCCCTTTGTATGTCTGCTTCTTTTTCTATGTCTGCTTCTGTCTCCTTGAACCCCTGTCGGCCTCGGCAGATGGCCGCTCACACTGAGCTCACACTGAGCCGAGTACACTGGTTCTGCTGGAGGTTTCCTCCAGTTAAAATTATGTTTTTCCTCTCAGCTGTCACTACATGCATGCTTGGTGAGGGATTGCCTTTGAGTCAATGAGTCAATGCAATCAGCTTGTTTTCCTTAGATAGACAACTTTAAATCAATCTGACTATATGAATTTAATTTGAACTGTCTCTGTAAAGTGCCTAGAAATGACAATTGTTATGAATTGGCGCTTTATAAATAAACGGAATTGAACCGAAATTAGTACTGCATAATAATAGTAGGGGAGTGGCAGCCTAGTGGTTAGGCCATAGAGCTTGGTATCCTGAGGTTCTAAGTTCGAGCCCCACACCCACAGACTGCCACTCTGGGTTTCTTAGCAAGACCGCTAACCCCACACTGCTCCCCGGGGACCACACAACCCAAGGGGAGGGGTTAAATTCAGAGAGTTAATTTCGTGGTTCTGTACTTGTGACAGTGTAATGACATTAAAAAATTAAATAATGGAAGAGCTCCAGACACTAGGAGGTCGTTGTTCAGGGCAGGTTGTGTCGTCATTAGGTCTCCAGCTCTAGTTTGGGTGCCAACTCACTCTTTGATGCCATTTTTACAGACATATGTCCCATTTCATTAGGGGTGTTAGTCACATTTTTGCCAATCTAAGTTAGATGAGCTTTATTGATCTCACAGTGGAGAAATTCACTTAAGTTTTACCTTTGCCTGTCTTAATTTTGAGTTTACAGGATCTGTGGGCTTTACAATAAAATCAGATATTTGCATGTTGCTTGCAACCCTCGATCACAAAAAAAAATGTGGTTCCTTACTTTTATTATATATTGAAAAACATATCAATTCAGCTGTTTTGAATGGTAACTACTACTGAGTATTATTTTATTTTTATTAAGCACTCTTTTCTCTGAAAAACATTACAATAACATTAATCCCAATACCCTTCATAAGTAAGCTTAATTCCAACTGAATGCAGCCCCATTTTACCACTATTGTTTAATCTAATTTTATTTATTTAATCTAAACTGCCCCTCCTCTGAAGTTGGAAAAGTCTACATTGTCTATATGTCCTAACTATAATCACTGAAGCTAAACATTTTGCTGAGCAAGTAAAGATAGCAGGGTTAATAGCAATGTTTAATATTTGTTTTCCTAATACATACCTATAACAATAAATCAATATGCAGTCTGACATTTACTAACAACCAACAGCCAGTGAAAGGTGGAATATACCAAGAAATCCAAAGTTGGAAGCCAGCAGTTGAAACCGTAATCATGCATGCACACTGCCAATTTAGACTTGGCAATTACTGAACATGCCTCTGTATCATATAGCTAGAGTTAAAGGAATGAAACATCAAACACATGACACAAAAGACTGTCCACCAAAGATCTGTACTTTATCCTACGGTGGCATTATAGAACTAACCACCATACTACAATCCTATTAATTTGTGGTCTTTAGCACAGGGTTTGATAGGAGTCTGGTATATACTAGATAACATTTCTTGTGATTTGTTGAGATGGTTAGACAAATTACAGTTTACCAAACATCTTTTCATTGCACCAGCATGTAATAAAGCTGTTATACTGTATCTGCTTTTGCTGTTTTGTTTTTTTGTGGACACACATTCTTACATTTTTCACAGAAACAGCTAGACCGTTTTAAGAATGTCTATCCTGATCTGGGCGCCAACAGCAAACATACAGTCATTACAATTGAGGTATCTTCAAAGGTCACATTGGCCTAAAATCAATCATTTATCCCTGCAGAAATTAAATCTGTATCCAAGTTAATTTGCGATCTAACAAATAATTTCACTCTAAAAATAGGAACATGTATGATTTTTTTTTTTTCAACAGAGCACATCAAAGGACTTTTAGTCAACAGCAAGGACACATGTCACGGAATACAATATATTAAAAGGCAAATCATGCCAGGTGAGACTTTTCCTAGGTAGCCATAGTGAAAAATCCCCCCAAAGTAATAATACCCACCACATTAATTATTTAGAGCAAATTCAATTTAAACTCACCACTTTACTGTATTGCCTCCTATGTCTACCCATGTTTAAGTTGCATAAGCATTCCAGGAGGCAAACAATTACACAAACATGCATTCACGTACACACACACACACACACACACACGCACACACACATTGATTGACCTTTACCACTGAGTGATATTAATACATGCAGGTTGTACTAGGAAAGGTTAACAAGCAGTAAGGCCAACAGCGCTCACATGGAATACAAACAATCATCAGTAGAAGCATAACCTTACACAGCTGACAGAGAAAGCCACATGACAACCAATAAAACTGAAAGACATTTATATTCTTGTGATCTAAGAAAGGTGAGTTTTATTTTTAAAAGCCTGTATTAAAATGAGTGAATTTCAATTACACCTTCTCTGTTGGAGAGAAAAAAACAATAGAATTGAACAAGCACATTCTTAAAGATACACCTGCTTTAATTTTCTGCGCTCTTTTCTTTTGTCATGATTTATGTAGCAATGTGTACATATTT